GTAATGGAGGAGGAGGAGGCAGCCATAAAAGATGGAGAGCAGGAGGAGGAGGAGGAGGTGTGTGGCATGAAGAAGGAGGAGGAAGAATCGGAAACGCAGCAGGAGAAGGACGAGGTGGAGACACAACTCACTTATTTTAAAAACATTCCTAAAAGACGTTTCCATGGTAACTCTCAGTTAGTGTTTTATCCTGCGTGATAAAACCTCAGCACAGTTTTCTCTGCTGTGAACGCAGACATATGAAGTTATATAGAGGAAATTCACTGCAATGCCACCAGATGTCGCACTAGAGCACCAGCAGCGCTACGCTAACCAGACAAACAAAAGCATTTTACCTCCCACTACCAACTGGACAGGGACCAAATAAAACTCACCAGAACTGTCTGTTAGTCTGTCCAACCATCACCAATAATAATAATAATAATAATAATAATAATAATACATAATTCACTGACGTAGCTGATGTTAGGGGGTCGCCCTCTGACAGTAGTTCAGGATCCCAGTAGAAAGGATCCCCAGAGAGAACTTCAGTGTACCAGGTAGAGGATAAAGAAGTGCAGGTTCAGGTGATCCAGACAGGGGGCGCTGTGTGTGTGTGTTACTCATTATCAACCACTGATACTGGTCTCTGTCCTCCTGTTGGTCTCCAGGAGGAACCAGGTTTCCCAGTGGACCTGGAGAACTGCATCACTCTGGATGAACTGGAAGAGGAGCAGTCTGAGGACCCAGGTACACCCAGAGGGTCTATAAAGTCCTGATGATCATTAAATAATATTTCTTGTTGTTTCATTGATGTGAATGTGGTCTGTTGCAGATGAAGTCGGAGACGGAGACGGACCAGGAGAAGTAAGGATGACACACTGAGTGTTTGCAGACTGGTTGTTGTTGTTGTTGTTGGTTTTATGTTGAGTTCTGGTTTGTTTCCAGTCTCAGTCCACCCGGGTGGTGTACTTCAGGAACCTCCCGCTGCAGTCCTACAGCAACGCTGACTTCCTCAGGCTGGTGAGAGATTTTGGGACGGCGCTGCGGTACTTACACAAACCTCCGAGCTGTGTGAGTGTGTCTTCCTGTCGGTCTCTGTGGTCTAAATGTCACACATGCTTACGTCAGGAAGAAACAACTTTATTATCACTGTACAAACACACAACTTTATCACTGTACAAACACACAACTTTATTATCACTGTGCAAACACAACGCAAAAGAGAAAAGGTGATCAGATTGATGCAGTTTGACCTGCAGCTTGCAGCTCTGAAACGTTTGTGAGACCTCCAGCTGTATCCCGATTTCTTTCTTGTGGCAGCAAACACACACTGTACTGTTGTACCTCAACCTGAGCTCAAGTACTCACTGTGTGTCTGACTGCAGGAACCAAACTGCCCTCTGCTAACATAAAGATGCTAACAGAGAAATCTGGAGCTGCTGTTGATGTCCAGTGTGATCAGACTCTGTGAAACTCCTGTAGATAAATGAGGAAATCCTTTATTTCAGGGAACAACTGCTCTCTTCCTCATTCTCAGCGTTTGTGTGTTTCAGGGTTTCATCGAGATGTCGTCGTCCTCGGAGGCTCTGAGAGCCGTTAAAGAGCTGACCAGGAAACCCGTCACCTTCCATGGTTCCAGACTGGTCGCCCAGATCTCCAACAAGTACAGAAGACTCACAGACGGGTCAGAGTCCCCAAACTGTCCCCTGTTTGATCCTGTTCACCCCGTTACACTGTCTGTGCTCATTTACCCAAAATTCCTGTCTTTACAGGTGGGAGGTTCAACCGGACCAGAATTCGGACGAGCGCAAGAGTCGAAGCAGCAGCAGGAGGAGCGAGAGACCAAACAGGGACGAGTCCATCAGGAAGTCTGAGGGGAGGAAGGAGTGCTCAAAGAAGACTCCAGAGAAGACTCAAAAGGAGTCCAATAAGAATTCTTCAGAAAGGGAGTCCAGAGATTCTCCAAAGAGGAAGGCGTCAGAAAAAAAGACTCTAGAGGACAAAGACAGTCTAAAAAGTGACCCCAAAAATACGGAACCAGTCTGCAGAAACGAGTCACAGACCTCCAAAAAGAGTTGTTCGGAGAACGAGTCATACGACAATAAGAGTCTACAAAATGACCCCAAAAACGTGTCAGAGACAATATCCAGAAAGTCTCCAGAAAAGGAATCAGTCAGCAAAGACGATTCAGAAAAGATCTCCAGAGTGACTCCAGAGAACGAGTCGTACGACAAAAAGAGTCGAGAAAAAAACCCCAAACACATGTCGGATAAGGACCTGGCTGCCAGAAACTCATCAGAAAAAACCTGCAGAACAACAGCAGAGTCGGCCAATAACAAGAGTCCAGAGAGAGAGTCCGAG